ACGTAACGCTGCCTGTGGTAATTTTTGTGTTAGCATTTATCAGAATAAATTCACTACATCGTTTCGTGCCGCACATTTATTTTGAACTACGTAACTTTTAATGTACTGCTACTTAGGTGTACACACCTTTCATTTTTCCACTTTGAACTTTCCTCTCTCAGTCCTATTTGTTCTGATTGGTTCCGTCACGATGGGCACTGGGGTGGACGCGGAGAGCAAACGTAAACCACTTGCTCAACAAGACTGGCTCATTTCACTCGATCAGTGCAGTCTATCCTGGGCCTATGGCATGGCCGTGCTCTCTCTCTTAGGGTGTATAGTTCCGTTCGTGATTCTGTGTTGGTGCGTTTATCCCAAGCGGTAAGTCGAACAAGTAAAGATTTCGCTCAACATGTTCCGTTGTTTTCATGCAGTTTACGTTGCAAGCTGTGATTTTCAAAAATAGTTATGCTCTCATACGATGGTGAGAGGGAAAGAGAGTGTAGCACCCAATTATTGGGACAACAGAACAAGCTAGTTTTATGGACCAAACAGCCATACGCATTGTCCCCCAGACAGGATTCACGTTCCGATCAAATGAGCATTCCGACTCTGGCTTGGCCGTCTGCTGACAGCCCTTTGCTTCTGCAGGCATCTTGCTGTCCGCATGTCGTCTAGCAATACTGAATTTCATTATCTACCGGGATCTTTTTATCTGTCGCTTAGAGCTTTTGATATGGACACTACCGTATCTTTGTCCAGTTCCTCTTGATTGGTTTGAGTCACTGATTAGATCAACCTGTCCGTCGTTGTGGGGGCAGTCTTTTATAGAATTCGAGAGCTTTCATTGCAATGAAAACCTTCTGATTCATAACGAAGACATAAAACGTTTCTGAATCGTAAGTCGTAAATTGTCCCAGATACGTTCATTAGAGTGAAGTGAGTTTCTACCTATACCGTGCAAAGTGCACAGTTAAGAGGGAGTTGTGTTCATTCGAACATCCTACCACTCACCTTCGTAAGCAATTATATGCTTCTGGATGCTTCTGCAGGTCGCGGACGAGAGAATACCCAAGCAAGTGGTTAATTGCGATATCTGAGGACGAGGTGGTTTTTCACCTGGCAAACGGTTTCCGCAGAAAAAAAGCCATGCGTATCCGTAGAAAGCATCATGATATGCACGAACCTGACTAGCTACTGAATAAGGCTATAGTCGTCACCTCGTATTCCTGTCGCTGGTATAATAGGAACGCACTTCGCAGTCAAACAGCTTAGCGGGGCAGACACGACTGCATAGCAGAATGTCCCCCGGGTAGTATCCTCGCTGACTCGAAATGTTATGAAACTAAATACCCGACTGTGACTCACATGCTATCTGGAATGTGGGATAATACCGAGATCCAAAGGACAGCGAGGAATCACTGGGTTGGGTTTGGTTTACAACAGAAGACCAAGGCAAAAGAAACAAAACTTCTTCAACGAAAAGATCCTCTCGGATGCAGTCACTCACACTTACATGTTCATAGTCTCGCATTGCGAAGCGTTACAGTATCACTGTACTGTGTAGGGACTAGAGGTGGATCCTCGGGGGAAAATGAACTGTCACTGGGGCGCCAATTTATGCTCCACCCACAAGAATCTTCATGGGATTCTCTATAAAAGTGGTGCATTCTCATGTCAGAGCAGGAGGAAAAAAGACTAAAATTAGCTCAACTGCATTTAGTTTCTGTTTTGGTCCGACATGAATGCTTTGGTAAACGAATCGTTTCATCTCGGAATCCCCTCTTTTTAGTCACTGTGTTAGGAGGAGGGGGAGCTGTTGATTTGGTATCTAAGCGCTCAAACGCTAACCGCGTTATTTGGGATAATTATTTACGGAGTGTGAATTTTCAACCGGGATGTGACGCGTAGCAATTCAAACGTGTGGGTGTAAGGGGTTAAGGGATTTAATGAAATACTTGTAGGTTCATATCAAAAGGGAGGGGGGGGGGGGCTACTTTGGTCAACCTGGCTACTGTCTTCTCTGCTGTGGACAGCAGTCGTACTTTGAAATTTTCAACCAGTTCTCAAATCGCTGTCTCGCCCGTGCCTTTTTAAACGAACTGTTGGAATAACAATCAGCTTTCCTTTCTGTTTGCCTTATTTTCTGAGTTACATAATGTGTTGTAATAGGTAAGAAGACTAGATAGCAATAGAATGTCGTTGTTCGAACACCGCTTTGCACGAGTCTGATGGGGCAGTCGGACAAGCTATACTGAGGTTAGGCACAGAGTGCTAGACCTCCATCAATTTCTTTGGTTGCGACATGTGATGCATGTCACGAAGTAGGTTAGCACGGCACGCGATGTTTGCCGGGGCAGGTAGTGTGTGGGAAAAGTAAAATATGGTCAAGACCTCACATGAGGGTATGAAAACCCTGACCAAGAGACTGGGTCGTATAGGTCACACAAGGCTTCCTAGCTGGGGACCCCAGAATCATGGCAACCGGTGGTTAGAGATACTGCGTGATAGGGCCGAGTTTCGTAAACGGTGGCACTACTTAATGTCCCTGCAACCTTATTCCACATGGATTCACTACTTTTCCCTTGACGCGGCTTTCAACGTCCCGATCTCCTATTAACTCCTTCGTCTAAATGAGCAAATCAAAACCACCCCACGTAAGTGCCTGGTTAATGATGAAAGAAATTTTTTTAGCTTTTAAAATTATACTTCTAAGCGTGATGAACAGCAGATGGGGCGAACCCCATAGTCACAAGGACCTGTTGTTCACTGGTGGAAACCGGCAACCTAAGCCCCGGGAATTGGAGTGGCGAACCACACAAGGCCCCGATAGGTTAGGTGTGGTATTGAAACCACTGCCAACGTGTTTACACCGAGGCTGATCAAACTTTATCCGGATGACATCTTCAATTTCACTCAATCATTTCATTTGGCCCGACAAAAGCGAAGGGTGATATGATCTATTGTCTGTACTATCCATCCAATCAAAAGCTTCTACTGTATCAGATCTTCCTTGCCGATTATGGTGTACAACCCCAACTAAACCCAATAATTAATGGCATATTCTTGAGAATACATGGTATCCGGTACCTGTTCAGCAAATGCGCGCGCGTGTGTGTGTCGGTACAGTTTGGAATGAAATAAAACTGTTCACAGTGGATCGTTTTCGGACTGTATTTTTCATGAGGTAGAAAAGCATAATAAAAATGGCATTGTCGTACAGCCGCATGTAATTCGAGTTTATACACCAGAGGAATCGATCACACGTCTAAGCTACCGAGATAAAATACGATACAAACTAAACACCACATATGACAGTGAGTAGACCCGATTATTGCTCGCACAACCGATACGGAGGAAGTTGGAAATATTCTCACCGATTCAGAAATGTAGATGTGTGATGCAAAGGCAAAGGATGTATTTCACACTGACTTGCGAACAGTACTCCATTAATGCAGAGTTCGGGGAGGTAAGCTCCTCGTATATCAAATGTTGCATCAGTCTAACCATCCTTGTCTTTCTGTGGTGGTTATTCACAACTGAACAGTTCAGGTGACCCCTCAAGCCTCTTGCCCCAGAACCGTTGGCTGAGTTGTCGTCAATACTTTCTAGGTATCATAGCATGCACTGTGTGGAACTATTCACTTCAAGTTGTTTGTTCTCCTATGAGTGGTTATCCGAATTTACAGCT